TAGTAGAGACGGGGTTTCACCATGTTGACCAGGATGGTCTCGATCTCTTGACCTCGTGATCCACCCGCCTCGGCCTCCCAAAGTGCTGGGATTACAGGCTTGAGCCACCGCGCCCGGCCAATGGGCACAGGTTCTGTGTCATCTCCTCTCCTGGTGTTCCCACAGCTGGGACCAGAGACCTCCCTGATGACTGGGGCACCTGGTGATGGTGGCCTTTCTCTTTATGGGGAGGCTGAGTATGCTCAGATTGCAGCTTTCCTTCCCTAGACATTGTGTAATTGGTAGTGGGGGCACACTTGCCCCATTTCCTAGCCCCAGCCTTTCCTTCTCTCATGATGGCTCAGGATGAGTCCCCACTCAACAAGGCAGCTACCCTAAAGTAGTTCCCCTGGGGACTTTATCTGTGAATCTGTCCTTCTCCCTCCGCTCTTTTCCCTTTCCTGGACCCAGCCACTGATGTAACAAGCCAATAATTGTTTATCATATTAATACTTTGAGCTATAAAGAGGAACCTGTGATGGGTGAGATCTAGGGAGGAGGAAAGAAGTATAGGAATGTCTGGCCTATATTCTTTTCACCTGGGACCACTGATTTTTAAGCTGCCACCTTGGCTGGAGAATAGGCTATGGGGTTCATAATGTGTGGTCTCCCAGAGCCTCTTGTGGAGCTCTGCCTTCTTTCAGGGGGCAGGGATGGGGCGGGAAGCACATTGTAATACAGATGGCCTCAGAGCTGTCCACTGATGTCCTGCCTCTTCCCCATGCCTCTGTCTCTTACAGTGGATGATGAAGATGCCACAGTCAACAAGATTGCGTAAGTATCCCTGCCTCAGCAACTGACACCAGTGGTCTTTAGGAACTGGGATCCAGGGAGGCCCTGGAGCTGGAGGGAGAAGAGGGAAGTCACATACAGTGAAGAGAGAGTTTCTGCTTCCACCCCATTTCTTGCTTCTTCCGGCTTTACCTCATCCTGGGGACGCTCAGAAAAGCTGCCGTTCCTGTCTCCCTGGTTAGGCCAGGAGCTTCTTAGAGCCTCATGGCCAGGAACATTAGCTGGGGCCTGAGTCACCGGAAATGGTTCCAGCTCGGCTTCACCTCCCAGCAGCCAATAGGGGGGGAATGGATGCAGATGGATGGAAAAAGAGCAGGGTGTGGGGAAGGTGGGAACCCCTGAGGGAGGGGCATGCTTGGTCTGAGAGGAAGGCTCATGTTCACTAGCACATACAGAGAACGAGAGAGCGATGACTCCTCCAAGTCAATAGATCAGAAGGCGGTCCTCCATCCTTGATGGACCAATGAAATAGAAGTGCCCCACTTCAGTGGATGCAGCCCAGGGCATAGTCTTGGCTATGAAGCTAGGTTTCAGTTTCTCGTTTTCCTCCTTTGCCCTCGTGCCTTTGTGCAGGGCATAGCCATATGGGATGAACCTGTGCTTATCTGGTCTAAAAGAGGCAAGCTCAGAAATCCATATACCTAGGCCGGGCATGGTGGCTCACCCCTGTAATCCCAGCACTTTGGGAGGCTGAGGCGAGCAGATCATGAGGTCAAGAGATCAAGACCATCCTGGCCAACATGGTGAAACCCCGTCTCTCCTAAAATTACAAAAATTAGCTGGGCGTGGTGGTACGTACCTGTAGTCCCAGCTACTCGGGAGGCTGAGGCAGGAGAATTGCTTGAACCCAGGAG